TGCATGATAAATGGTAAAAAACGTTTATCACGTGGACAAGGCATTCAAATTTCAATTTCAACATAGATCATCAAGTGGATTGATATCGATTTCAGAAAAATAAAAAAAAATTTTTTTGAAATTTACTACCCAACAAAAACAAAAAATTCCTTCCCAAAAAATCAAGTTTGAAAAACAGTGATTTTTCACTAGCTGCTCATAGCTCTCACTATCTTGCTGAGCTCTGCAGAGAGAAGAAATTGCTATCGCTATTAAAAAATGTGTTGAAAATTGTAGAACCTCAGATTTTTCAAAAAGAGGTTTTTTTCTAAAAAAAGAATTCAAATCAGCGAATGATTATCGCTTCTAAAACACTCTAAACAAAAAAGGATAACGAAGCGTAGTACCAATGCCAACTAATTTCTTTCTTGCGCTAAATTTTGTGACGATCTCCCAAATTAATTAATTGGAAAAAAAATATTAATCATGATAAACGGCGACATTCTAAGAAAATCAAAACTAATTAATATATTGATTAACACAAAGAAGAAATTTTCTATTTGCCGTGTCACCATCTCCTTCCGAAATTCGCAAAGTTCATAATCTTCGTGCAGGTTTTTCGCCAATTATCTCTTTTTATGTTTAGCTGTGCTTGTTTTTTTCGGTTTTTGGCGCGATCAACATTTTCGCCATATTTAGCCAATTTTGCGTCGTACGGCAAATGTTTTATTTCATATACTATTCTTTGCAATTGTGCATTGAATTGCAATGTCTTGAAATGCAATGCTTTGCAAATGATCAGGAAAAAAAATCTATGTTTTTTAAACCTAATTTTTTGGGAAGGAATTTTTTGTTTTCGCTGGGTGGTAAATTTCAAAAAAAAATTTTTTTATTTTGTTCTGAAATCGATCTACATGGTTCTTTTTCTTTGATGATCAATGTAAATGCCTTTTTTCCGCGTGATAAACATTTGTCGTGCGATAAAATCCGAAGAGAACTATTTTGGTAAGAATGAATTTTGTTTATTTTGCATTTTAAGAAAAAGCTGTTTAGTTTCAAGCTTCAACAATTGTTACTAAGAATGCTTTTTTTGGTGACGGCAAGCATCTTTCTTATTTTTAGTATTTAGTTAGTGTGATGAAATCATGCTATTGATATTATTGATTAACACAAAAAAAAGATTTAACATTTGCCGTGTCACGATCTCCTTCCAAAACTCGCAAGTCGTGCGACTTCCGTGC